TGTGTAGCTGAACCTAAATAATAATAAAAAAATTTTTTTTGAAGTATCCATGTCCAAGTTTTCATACTTAACAGCTCTTGTGTGGTTCCCTCTGAAGCTGATTGTAGTCTCAAGTCTTGAACTTCATTTCTCTGGTAGACTCTTGTGGATAGTGCCTTGTGTTTGGTATTAACTTTGGAAGTTCTCATCAGTCTCTCATTTTTGGTATTTCAAGATGTTAGAGTTAGAAGTGAACATTTGAATTAGAGCAAGAAATTAAATTACACCTTCCTGTTGTTTGGGTTAGAGCAGTGTTCAAGAGTGGATCTATGCTTCTCTGTGCTGTATGCTGTCCGGCAGGGTTGGTGCCATGTTGGCTGCCTAATGCTTATACCATCTGGACTCAGTGTCACAGGACTATTAAAAGATTTCAAAGACGATAACTTTAAAATAGTTTTATCTTTTAATTAGGTTTTATAGTGAAGTTACTAGATCTGTAAAATTACTGTAATCTTGAAAGATTGCTGATGAGAATGCAGAATTTCAGCCACTCTGGAAAAAGGTGTGGCTGTGTCTCTCAAAGTTGAACGTACACCTACCATATGACGCAGCAGCTGGACTCCTGGGTGTTTATCTTAGAGATATGAAAACTTATGTTCACACAAAGACCAGGACATGGTTGTTCCTATCAGCTCTGTTTGGAATAGTGAACGGCTGGAAGCAGCCCAGATGTTCTTCGGCTGGTGAGTGGAGGAACTGTGATGCAGCCACACCGTGGAATATGACAAGCCGGTAAGGGGGATAGGCTGTGGCTGCACACGTGCTGTGCCGGGTGAGAGTCGGTCTCAGAAGGTTGGCCCCGTGTGATTCGTGTTCACAATCGTCTCACAGGGACTGAGACGGAGAACGAGCTTGGAGATTGCCAGAGGTGGGGATAGGAGGGAGTGCCTGTGAGGAGCAGCACAAGGACGTCCTGGCATTGATGGATGGCTTGGGGAGAGGGCTGTGCCAGTCTGTGCATGTGATACGGTGTCATGGAAACAAACAGTAAAATAAAAACTGATAAAATCCAAGGGAGGGCTGGAGCCTAGTAGCATTGTAAGGCATCTGCTTCCTGGGTCTGATAAGGTGCCGCGGATGGGAGGTGCTGGGGAAAGCTGCGTGGGAACTCGATTATTTTCCAGATAGGAGTTAAAGAAGACCACAGAGAAGGGATCTGAGGAGACAGGACAGAACAGCTGCTGCTGCAGGTACCCACTGCGTGTCTTGCAGAGCGAGGCTGAGGGGCCGCTGGTTGTAAATAGTCTGGGCACAGCGGCTGGCTCCAGTCCTGCTAAATGAGTGGCCTTCCAGTTAGGTGTGGCAGAGTCACCCCATGCGTGTTTCTTTTCTTCCTTTTGAGAACATGTGAAATGATGGCAAAGGAATTAAAGATCAAAAAACCTGCAAAGAAACCTAAAAGGAAACATCAGTTGGCAGAAAGCTTAGAGAAATGTTGGGTAATAGAAAATAGAGGAGTGTTAGTTGGCCCCAGAGGACCTAGAGAATCTACAAGGAGAACTGATGAGAACGGGGCCATTCTCTCCAGGGAACCCCGGAAGCTGAGGGCCAGGCCCACCGAAGATGGGGACCCCAGGGTGCAAGGGGCTGGAGCAGGAGGCGGGTATGTGAGGTGCTGGGACTCCCAGTTCCCTTCGCTGCCCCTGCCGCCGCCACCTGCCTCTGCCTCTTTGGCTGGCTGGGATTCTCAGTCTCGGGCTGGTTGAGTCAGAGGAGCAGTGGACTTGGAAACACCAGCTGAGTGGAGGGGTGGAAACCCAGGAATTCATTCAGCTCTTTTAACGGTGGGTTCCCAGCCCCACTCCTGACTGGGAAAGCTATCCCTCTCCCCAGGCAGTGATGGGAAATTAGAGAAACTTCTGTGGAGGACCCCGGGGGCCCCAGCTGTTGTATGTGACCGGCCTTCTTGCCGCTGCTGAGTGAAGCCAGCAGCCACCCTGTCCCACAGCCACAGCTTCCAGGCAGCGTCTCAGGGCTTTGCTCCTAGTCAGGATCACTGGACGTCTAAGGAAAGCCTTCAACACTGCAGGCAGAGGGAAGCCCAGCAGTTGAGAAGGAGGAACAGGAGGTGAAGTGGGGAACTGGGATAAAACAGAAAAACCACAACTCAGATAAAAGAAAGACATTGCATTCATAAAACAGGGACAGAAGGGTGCTTCTAAAAATGAAGAAACGCGAAAGTGTTCTTGGGGCCGGCACTGTGGTGCAGCGGGCTGAAGCCCTGGCCTGGAGCACCGGCATCCTATATGGCACCGGTTCTAGTCCTGGCTGCTCCTCTTCTGATCCAGCTCTCCTCTATGGCCTGGGATAGCAGTAGAAGATGGCCCATGTCCTTGGGCCCCTGCCACCCACATGGGAGACCCGGAAGAAGCTCCTGGCTTCAGATCGGCCCAGCTCCGGCTGTTGTGGCCATCTGGGGAGGGAACCAGTGGATGGAAAACCTCTCTCTCTCTGTCTCTACCTCTCTCTCTAACTCTTTCAAAGAAATAAAATAAATCTTTCAACAATGTATTCTTAGAAATTAAAACTATATCAAAAGCTTAAATAGAAAAGTTGGAATGTAAAGCTAAGGATATCTATCCAAGACATACAGTAAAAAGACTTAGGAAGAAGGAGAATAGAGAATAAATCCAGGATGTGTAAAATCCCCATCAGAGTTCCAGAAAGAATGAAGACACGGGATATAAGAATGTTGTCTGGACCCAAAGGACTTAATTTTCCACATGGCTGGGGTCCACTCAGTGTCCAGTAATATAAATGAAAAACTGCCCACACTGAGACAGCATTAGGCAATTTCAGAACGCAGGGACAAAGGGAAGACTTCCCAAAATAAACTATCGAAAAAAAAAAAATCCCAAGAGAAATGACAGCTGACTTCTCAGGAGCAAAGCTGAGTGCCAAAGACAAGTGGAGCAGTATCTCAAAAAATTTAAGGGAAATAATTTCAATCTATTACACCTCACTCAGCAAAATACCAAGTAAATGCCAAGGTAAAAATAACTTCAGACACATGAGGACTCCATTTACCTCTTGTGCATCATTTCTTAGACCATTTTTGGAGAATGGTTCCCAGCAGAAAGAAAGGAGAGAGAGAAGAGGGGCCGACTGAGGAAGGCTGTGACATGGGTGACCAGACAGGGATGTGTGAGGGCAGGAGCCTGGCAGGCCCAGGCACAGTCGGGCCACACCGAGGAAGAGGACACACAGTCCTTGGAGGAGGTTCTGGGGACTGACAGTTGTGTGCATTTGACAAATATTGATGGGCCTCTGCTGGCTGTGAGGGAGTGTGGGGGAAACGTCAGCTGCATAGAAGCCAAGCCAGCCTGGGCTGCTGGGGTGGTTGCTGACCCCAGGAGAAAGGAAACGTGACCCTTAGTCCGTGCCTTGTATTGAAGTAACCAGTATTTACATGGTCACAACAGACACTACTGATTTGCTAGAAAATTGGGATTCGTCATGTAAGGATTGGGGGAAGGGGAAACGAGGTGGTAGAGAGGTGAGCCTCACGCACTGTAGCAGGAAAGCGACCCTCACTGCCCCAAACTGAGGAGTTAAGAGCATTCAGGCCGGCGCCGCGGCTCACTAGGCTAATCCTCCACCTAGCAGCGCCGGCACCCCGGGTTCTAGTCCCAGTCGGGGCACCGGATTCTGTCCCGGTTGCCCCTCTTCCAGGCCAGCTCTCTGCTGTGGCCAGGGAGTGCAGTGGAGGATGGCCCGAGTACTTGGGCCCTGCACCCCATGGGAGACCAGGAGAAGCACCTGGCTCCTGCCTTTGGATCGGCGCAGTGCGCCAGCCACAGCGCGCCAGCCGTGGTGGCCATTGGAGGGTGAACCAACGGCAAAAGGAAGACCTTTCTCTCTGTCTCTCTCTCTCTCTCACTATCCACTCTGCCTGTCAAAAAAAAAAAAAAAAAAAGAAAAAAAAAAAGGAGCATTCAGAACTACGGCAATGCAACAGCGTGGTTGAAAGCGGTCTTGGCAGAAAGACCTGTGCTTGTTTCAACCTTAAGCCATTGTTAGTCCTGTTCTCTCCCTACTCCTGCTTCACCCTGGAGAAGCCTTGTCTGCCCCCTGTGAAAGCCAAGTGCCTTTTCTTTCTTTTTATCATATGGTCATCCACAAAGAGGGGATCAGGAGACCAGAGCCCTCTACTTGGAGTTGTTAATACTATGTAGCTCTTTGTTTGTGGTCAGCACCATGGGAAAAATTTGTTTCTTGTACTAAAGATTTAGCATACTTTACGTTTAAACGAACATTCTAAATAATTGCACATCTTAAAATGGGCATAACACTTGTCTGTGACTTTCTAGAGAATGGAACCTTTACAGATGAGAACCATGGGTAACCACCTCATGAAATCTAGGGAGGGAGTGACGGGGTGTGGGGGACCGTATGCACAGGGCTTACTGCAAGTCCTTAACGAGTAAACCAGCTGCTAGAAACAAATGCAGTGACCACCTTGAAAGATTGAAGGTGGGCCTGTTTCCAAGGCCATCTGTAATACCCACTCTACACACCCTCTCCCAGTAATCAGAGTAAAAACAAAATCTCTTGGGAATTTCTGTAGGCTTATTAGCTAAAACATTGCCCTTAATCATAAATTAAGTACACAGGTAGCTTATCGTGCGCTTGTTTCCTAACACTAGCATGACAACCACTAATCATCCTCTTAACCCCAAGGCCCATGGTCCCTGTGGGCTGTGACAGAGACCTGAATGTCTGCTGCTGGCTCCATTTACAGTAGGTTGTCCTTGGCCGTGGGCAGCTGGGAGAATACCAGGACTACACGCTCCTGTTCCTGGGGTAAGGCAGTAGATGCCTCACGTGATTTTTAAGTCATCTGTTAGTCCGTCACTGTATTGTTAGCTAACAGAGCTAGCCTTGGCCACTTAGTGACTAAATATAGAGATTATTCAGTCTACTGTATATTTTATTAATTGCTTTGTCTGTTTGTTTCTCAGAATGTTATGGAGCAGTTCAATCCTGGACTACGCAATTTAATAAACCTAGGAAAAAATTACGAGAAAGCTGTTAGTGGTAAGTCTTTGGTTCTTTTTTTTTTTTTTAATTTTCAGAATTTTCAGTATAAAGGACAAAAAAGCCATTCAGTAAATATTTGCTTGACGTCTTAAGTACTCAATATTAATTTTCTAAAGTATCTTCACGTAATAGAAATTAACCTACGGAACTTTGTAATGATAGTACATAGTTATATTAGTGTATTTGGAATGAGTCAGTGAATGACAGTGAAGCTCATAGATGATGTATTTTAACTGCCAAGTTACTGTTTTTGACCCAGGTCAATCTTTGACAGCATTGCCATAAGTGTGTTTTGTGCTTTTTAAACCAAATTATTTGTGAACTGATGGCATATATAACATATGCACTTACCATAATTGGGTTAGTGTCCTGCCGCACTGGAAGTCATTCTTTCATTTGTGTAGCAGAATCTCTTGCCCTTGGATGATGGTCACTTTGGGAAATGTCCAGCCGGAATGGGAAAACGTCTGAGCTAAAGGCTGGACTTGCATTCTCATTTCAACCTGAGTACTTCACTTAGAACCGTTCCGGTGTTGGTGTTTGCCTCCCTTTGTGAACCAAAGTTGTTGACTAAGTTTAAGACATTTCCAGTGAGGATGTTGATGTGCACCTGCACATGTGTTTCCCGGCTGAAGGGCAAATGTTAAAATGTGTCAGTGATCACCTGGGAAACTTCCGATGCTGACAGCCACCAGACTGTCACATGGCCAAGAAAATTCTCCTTGTGTAGCAAGTATACCACCCCACCCCCACCCGAAATACTCAGACCCCAGCGTCACCCGCTTCCCTGGTTCACAAAGACCTCCAAGTGACGTAACTAGAAAATTCAGTTCCCAGTGGTTTAAGACTTGAAGGCTTCCGATCAGGTCTGGGGTCTTTGCCTTGTCTCTGGGTCCTCCCTCTCACCACACCTGCCTTTGCTTGCTCCCTCTCACTGTTTTCACAGTGAACCTGTGACCCCGGCAAAGGGCGCGCAGGCTGGGCTCTGGGTGCCCGGAGCACTGCTGTCGTCACTGGGCCCGGGGACAGCCTGCTGCCTTGCTCTGCGGCTCTGCGCCTTGTGCTTGCTGCTGTCAGCATCAGGAAGGGCAGCAGCGCCGGGTTCTTCTGCCTCCCCTGCAGCAGGAGCAGTGCCTGTGCAGGCGCCTTCCCTCCTCCAGGGAGCAGGGCTTGGCGTCGCCGACTCTCCCTTGCTGACATCTTAAGTACTCAGTGTTGTCTTCATCACAAGGCACAGACTCGTTGCTTCCGATGTCCCTGTGAAGGAGATCGCTGTGACCTGCAGCGACTTTCCCCCTTCTAGAATGCACTCCCTCTCTGTGACCAGGTTTTACAAGTGAGTCAGTCCACTCCCACAGCCTGGCCTGTGATGAGGCTTCCCCCGCAAGGGTTCTTATCACCAGCAGCTCCTGGAGATTGTACTCTACTTCAGTCAGTATTCCCAGAATTCATAGCTCCTCTGGATGTGCCTTTCCAAAGTCATTGAGGAACGTAGACGAGTTGGTGAAGTCCTTGGTAAGAATGGGAGTACAGTTGGGGAAGCCAGCGTGTACTCAGCAGTTAGGTCACAGGGCAGTGCATGCGTTGCCTAGACCAGCCTCACAGCAGTCTGAGCAGTGATGGTCAGTGTGGACCCGAGAGGGCAGGAGGCCCTGCAGGACTTGAGCTACTGTCTCAGACTTCAGTAGGCACACACTGCTACCTGTGGAGCGTCCAGGCCGAGCCTTAGGATCCCCTCTGGCATCTGGCCTGGGCGAGAGGCCTTGTCTGCACAAGCAGCCTCCTCTCTTCAGGGAGGCCAGACTGGGTCCTCACTCAGTAGCAGAGGGGTCCCAAGAGGTATCAAGCCCCTGTGGGAGTCATGCTTGCTGATGCCTCATTGGCCAAAGCAAGTCACGTGGCCAGACCACACTTTGATGTGGTTAGGGACCACCCAGGCCGGGAATCTGGGAGCCATGATTCATCAGAGGCCGATGCAGTAAAGATCTGCATGAGTCTGTGGGTGCAGCGGCTCACCTGTGGGCAGTGGGGGGCCGTCAAGTGCTCTGGAGCAGAGGAGTAACCCAGTGAAACCATCTCGTAAGGAAGTTACCGGGCTGAAGGAGGTAGATAAAACTGGAGTGATGAAAGTGTTGACCATGAAAACAGAAAAAATAGGCTTGATTCCTTAAAACAATAAATGATAGAAAATATCTTAATGTTTTCACAAAGGAGGGCAAAATCATGAAAACATTTTATTCTTTATCCTGAACAAATTATATAATTTTATTTTAATCTACTTTATCACAAAAGCATAGATGTTTTATAGGACCGAAGGGTATTGCGTGGTTTCAAATGCAGGTCAACAGTTAATGAAAAATTTCAATTTAATGTGTGGAGGCAAACCAAACATTTTGTTCAAATATTGTGTAATCTTACATGCCGTCCTCCCACTAGTTTGCTCCTCAGCTTATCAGTGCTTTGCAATTTAAAATCTTGGTCCTAAAATATTACATCTATTAACTTGACAGTGTACTGGCTACACACCTTGTCTTTAGCTGGAGTCACCTTTCGTTTAGCGGTAGCTCAGACCAGAGTCAATAAGCACCATGATTTAAAGCCAAGGAAGTGCAGTGCCTTAGCTGACTCACCACCGACCTTGGCACGTCCCAAAGTGTGTCCAGTCTGCCCTCTTAGCGAGAGGGGCTGATGGATAGGTTAGCCGAGCAGTGACTTGAAAAGTCCGCGTACGTGCCTACCGTTGCTGTTCTTTTTACAGGCGTTCTTCAGGTTACCCTTGGTCTTAGAGTAGCGTGGCAGAATGTGGTGTTCCCTTTTCGTGTATACGTATTCAGTGAAAGCTGTGTCTTTTACAATTCTTTTAAACTCTGTAATAAGTCCCAAAATAACCTGCCATACAAACCTACAGTACCTTGAGCTCTGAGTCTGTACATGGGTCAATTCTGTGCCCCTTCCCCCAGTGCTTGTTTTTTAAAATCCACCTTTAAAAACAATGCCCCTTATAAACTGAGGCAAAAACAGCTGGGGTGGCCTGTGGTTTTCCTGTCAGTGAAAGGAAGGGGCTGGACAAGGAGCTCTTAGTCTCCACAAGCGGTGGTCTCCAGAGCTATAGGAAAAACTGATTTCTACTTGTGAATCCAATCTTTGAATAAAAAAAAATGAATTATTTTCTCCAAAATCACATGGACCAGGCCAGGTCTTGTAGAAAAGCTGGCTTGTTCAGTTCCAGTGATGTCCTCAAACCGAGCTTGTGGTAAAGCGGAGGAGGCCAGTGGTCTGAGCAGCCGCCTCCTGTCCGCTCAGGGCTTCCCCTGTAGGGTGTTCTGTAGATGAGCGGCATTGGTTCAGAAAGGAGGGCGCGTGGTTGTTGTTTAGTCTTCAGAATTGGGTAAAGGGGGAAATACCATCTTTAAGATAATTGGAACTCATATAGCAAAAACAAATATTTCCTAAACTATACCAAAAAGGGAGGGAAAAAGTAGAATATTTGGTTATTTCAGAAAATTCTATTTTTTGAAGAAGAATTTTATTTCAAATATCATAAAATTTTCCTAGCCATAGATCTGTTTAGTTGCTTGTGATTCAGAATGGCCCTTTCGGTAGAAAGGGTAAAATGCCGTCCCAGGCCCAGGTCCCTGGACCACGCCCTCACGAGTCCCCCTGAATAGTGGGCTGCATGGGTGGCTGAGTTCCCAGCCTGATTGCAGGCTTGGGGGCACGTTCCCTCTGGAGCCGGCCTCGGGAGACTGCAGTACCTTCTGGACGTGGCACCTGCTGCTGGAAGAGTCCCCGTCGCTGGTCTGCGGTGAGAATCCATGGGCTATCCTGTGGGTGGCACAAGGGCTGCCTTCTGAGAGCCACACCTGCCGCAGCCCAAGGCTTCCTGCAGCCAGAAGGGATTAAGGGATGTTTGGGGGGAAAAAAAAAAACTCCACGTCACTTCCTCCTGTCCCTGTTAAAGTGTTGATTTTGTGTTGCTTTCCCATCTAGCTATGATCCTGGCAGGAAAAGCCTACTACGATGGAGTGGCCAAGATTGGTGAAATTGCCACTGGGTCCCCTGTGTCGACTGAGCTGGGTGAGTTGACCATCTGTTATGCAGAACCCCAATTGCTATCCCACAAACCCTGATGAGAATGCGTGCGGTGGCCCCAGTCCAGGATGGAGAGGAGAGCAAGCCCAGCACTCTGTGGTTTGAGTTCCCAATGGTCTATGTCCACGGAGGCTTCGTCGGAGGGCAGGCCGGGGGCCTTCCAGACTTGGCCTCTTGACTCTTCTAGGAACTCCAGCCTCTGCCTTTTGCCCATCGCCTCTGGTCCCTGGAGCCCCAGGGAGCCTTGACCTACATTCATCACCAGGGGTGGGGGGAGTGAGGCCTGCAGCCCATGGCACGAGTTGCTCCTGTGACTCACCTGGTGGAAAACCCAGCTCCTTTACGTTTCCCTCTTGGCTCTCGCAGCGTCCACAGTTGCCTTCGGTTGTGATTTTTCCGGTTTTGCTGGTATGAATCGTTCTCCTGTGCAGGAGCAGGGCAGCCACACCCTGGGCAGCACTGGCAGCAGAGGAAGCTGGTTTCTATTTACACAGCCACTTCTCTGCTGCCATCCCTGTGGGGAGGGCAGAGTCCACAAATCGCCCCTCGTCTGTACAACTTTGGAATATGTTTACGAATATGTACGAAGGGTAAAATTGCTGGGGTAATGTGAAAGGCTCAGAGAGCCAGAGGAAAGAGCCGGTACAGTTGTGTTTAAAGGAAAGTGCGCTCTTCTGTTAAAAGGTGGGGAGGGGAGGCGGAGGAGAAGCACGCATCACCATCACCACGTGGAGGTTCTGGTAATTCTCACCGTTTCAGGTCCACTTGGCCGGGAAACTCCACTGACCCGTCCAGGGGCAGCACGGGGCGGGGCTGGGCTCTGGCGCAGAGCTGACCTGTGCTCTCATTCGTGTTCTCGGACAGCTCTGTACTGACCAAAGGCAGAACATATGCCTGAAGTTACTCTAGTGAGAAAGTCAGTCCTCCCTTGTAACCGAATCAGCTGCACGCAAGGAGAGTTTTGAAACCCTGGCTTGTGCTCCATGTGTGACCTGGTGAGCTGTGTTGCAAGCTCAATCAGTTGAAAGAAGTACAGACTGCCTTCTGTTGATAGAGCCGATAGCAAACCTTAGGGCCTGGGGGGAGGAGTCGCGATGATCATAGGGTTCCCAAAATAGGACTACATTAAAAAGAAACAACCTATTTGTGTCAGGATCGGGGGGAAAAATGTGCTCCTTCCATTAAAACATATGGTGCTGATTCACTGTTGCCCGGTTTGCCTTCTCCGTGTTTTATGGGGTTTGCCGCTGTTTAAATAAGACTCTGTTCCACACCTTACTTTATTCAGCTGTGAGTCCACGAAGTTGAGTCAGGTGTTTCCATGGCAACGGTGTTGTCATAAACAGAAGCTTAAAACTCCCTGGTGAGCTGACTGTGTTACTCTGGGAAGCCCCCGTGTGGGTGCCGCTAGTGTTCAGAGTGAATGGGAGCGACTTCTACTTCGGGTTTCTCACGATCTCATAGTTACTGATGTTCTCTTCTACCGCTAGTCGGTGATAACATGCTACCTCACTAAGGCTTGCTTTTGTAGGCCTTGTATACTTCTTTGATTTCCCTAGTTTTTATTTTGCTGCTAAACTTTTAGACTAAAATAACACCTTGCAGGGCTGGCATTGTGGCACAGCAGGTCAAGCTGCTGCTTGCGAAGTCAGCGTTCCATATCAGAGCGCTGGTGTGAGTCCCGGCTACTCCACTTCTGATCCAGCTCCCTGCCCATGCTCCTGGGAAAGCAGTGGAAATGAGCCACGTGCTTGAGCCCCTGCACCCACGTGGGAGACCCGGGTGGAGTTCCCTGGCTCCTAACTTGAGCCTGGCTATTGCGGTCTGTGGGGAGTAAACCAGGAGATGGAAGATTCTCTGTCTCTGCCTCTCCTTCTCTGTTGCTCTGCCTTTCAAATAAATAAGTCTGTAAAATAACACCCTGTGTCTGTTTCAAGTCCCTCTGTAGGATAGTAGTGGACAATTCATAGGAAGAAAAAAAAATAACAAAGATAGATTGTACCTTTCTCATTTTCCAAGGCATAGTTACTGCCTCTTGATAGTAGTATTTGTAACTTAGTTATAAAATGTACTTACATTATTAATTTTGTATAAAACTGAAGAGATATTACTGTGTATATGTATATAAAATCATAAGTTTCAAAATTTTCACAGGTCTTGCAGTTGGCTTCTGTTAGTAAGGCTGCAGCAGAACTGTTGCTGATTTTTAGCTTTAGATATTTCCATTTAATTTATTTACTTAGGAGGTGGAAATTCCCATTCCCTAGTTCACTCCCCAAATGCCCACAGTTGGCCAGACTGAAGCCAGGAGCCTGGAACTCAGTGTGAATCTCCCACATGGGTGGCAGGGACCCAAGTACTTGAGCCATTGCCTGTTGCCTCACAGGGTACACGCTTAGCAGGAAGCTGGAATCAGGAGCAGAGCCGGACTCAAACCTAGGCACTGCCATATGGCATGCGGGTGTCCCAGACAAGGTCTTAATTGCTAGGCCAAGCGCCTACCCCCCAGTGTTTGCATTCAGATACCCATCCTGCATCATCTTATCCATTGCTATGTTCACATTGCTGTGTGAGCAATTCAGGATGCTTTTGCCCAAAAGTAACATAATACTTGACTAGTACTGAGTTAAGCTCTCCTCATGCTTCCTATTCCTTGTTAGGCCGGGAGTAGGGAGTTCCCAGGTAGGTAATCCTCACTAAGGACCCAGGTTCCTTTTTTCTGCTTCTTTTCATTTCCTCTTGGTTCCAGAGCAGCTGCCAACCTAGTGATCACATCTTTCTTCCTGCTTCCAAAGGCGTCATCTTCCTAGATGTGCCCGTTTACAAAGGAGGAAACCTTTGCCCAGAGCACTAGCGCACAGTCCCTCGTGTCCCCTGGCCCCATTTAGATCACATGGCCGGACCCCAGCTGCCAGGAAGGCGTCTCTGGCACGATCGGCCAAAGAATGCGGGGGAGGAGAGGGCACAGCTGCCGGGACCTCGCCTGAGGACAGCCCCCGCGTCAGGCGGCTGTGGCATTGAAGGCCGGGTTGCAGCAACTTCAGTGAAAGGGAAGGGCCTCCACAAATGTCCTCGATGCAGCTGTCCGCAGCGTGCACGGGATGCCTCTGCATTTTGCATGTGTCTGGTGGGAGCATTTTTTTCTCCCATGTGGGCTGGTGCGTGATTCTGGAAAACAGGTGGACACTTCAAACTCTGTCGTTTCTCTGGGAAAAGAAAAGTCTCTGTGCTCCTCTAGAACCTGAAAATGAATTCTTTAACATTTTTACAACAGCTTAATTGACATACTGTTCACATAGAATTCACTGATAAAGTGTGAACTTTGTTCCCTTTAGTATATTCACCAAGCTGTGCAAGAACCCTAGAAGGGGTCACGGGAGAGGAAGAGCACGGGACTCCCCCCGTGGGGATCTTGTCAGGAAGGGGATGAAAGGTCACAGTCGGTGTCCAAGCAGGGCCAGCGGTGTGGTGGTGGCGGTCAGCAGGCCCCGTGGAAGGGGTGGTTTCACCTGGGACCTGGCCGTGAATGCCAGTGGTACTGGAAGTCAGGGAGGGGTCACGTCCACTCAGCCTCTGTGCTGCCGTGCTTCCACAGAGAAACGCGGGTCTTGTGAGGTGTCCACTGCTGCCAAGTGCCTTCTCCACACTTGTTTCTTCTGCGGCCACCCCTGAGTGGAATTTTACCCCGCGATCTTCGGGGCGCAGCGTTGCCTTGTGGGAAGGGTTGCTAGGCCCTGAGGGAACTCTTGGTGATGGCCTCCGCAGGCAGCTGCGTTGGGTCGTGGGTCCCTGGCAGTGTTCCTCAGAGCCAGGGTTGGTGTGGCAGGGGCGTCTGTGCCGCCTGGGCCTCAGAGCTCGCCCTGCCCAACTGGAGCCCAGGAAGGATCCTGGACCGAGGATGGTCAGGCCAGGCCACATTTTACTTCCCCTACTGCCTGGCACCCAAGGTGCTCAGTGCTATGTTGCTGCTGTCAACTTGTGGTGTGACCTTGGGCAGCACTTCCCCTGGATGAGTGGGCTGGCCACACCCTGCGGGTTGTCGGAGATGAAATGAGGCCAGGTGCCCGTGGCTTCCCGCCCAGGCGAGGCCGTGAGGAGGCTTCTCCGCTGCCATTTCACGGACTCCCCAACATTTGAGAACTCAGTAAAGCAGTGCCAGTTTTCCTCGCTGACCTTCTTGCCATGAAGTGGACAGTCCAGCTCTGTAAGAGCATCTGTTTCCTTCCTTGATGATCCGTGAGCCGGTTCCTTGGCTCTGCCCGTGGTATCTTCGTTCCCCATTTCATTAACCACTCCTGTTCCCTTTGTTTTCTCCCTCCATCTTTGTGATCACTATTGCTCCTTCCATGGTACACTTAGCTCATTAGTACTGAATACAGGCAGTCCCCGTTCTGCACAGTAATGGGACCGTAAAGATGGCTGTGTGGGTTGAAACCATGCCGTCATCTTAATATTCCGTAGGAAAAATTGGCTATTGTTCCACAACTCATAAAAATGTTGCCAGCAGCATTTGCTGTTTGTGTGGGGAAATGAAGAACTGGTAAAACTGACATTTATGTAGCATGCTGTGAAGCATTAGAAGAACATAGAGAATTCCAGTTCTTATTTCTAACAGATTTGTCAAGAGTGGTTTCAGCAGTGCTTGCCACTGCCTTGTGACCTCCCGAGTGAGCCTCTCTCCGTGCCTTAGCGAATCATGGTGGTCCTCTCTGCCTCTCCGTCAGAGTCCGAGGAGGAGCCCTCGGTTTCTCTCACAAGTTCGTGGCAGATTCCCACACCCGTGTAAGTGTCCTCCCGTGGCAGTGTCTGGTGTCCTCCGCTTCCACTCAGTTCTCAGAGCCTGGAGCAGCAGACGGTCCCCCGAGGAGAGGACCTGGTCCCAGATGGCCCCTTCTTCAGACGCCGACCGAAGAGGTTGTCACCTGTACTCCTGTCCAAGGGGCTGTATCAGGACTCCCTTCCCCCTCCTCGGGCTTCACTGATTTGCTAGCGCAGCTCAGGAACTCAGGAAACACTTCTGACGCGTGTGGGTTTGTGAGGCAGGATGTTACGAGGGTACACGGGAAGAGCTACACAGGGCATGGTTGTGTGGGAAGGAGCCAGGAGCCCACTCCGGGAGCCTCCTTGTGTTCCAGGCTCTCCGCACACCACATCTTTTAGGTTCTGCGAAAGCTTGCCTGTTGGGCGTGACAGATTATATTACTGGCCTCCCCTAGTGGGGATGGGGCTGAACCTTCTGGTCCACAGGCAGCCAGCCCCTGCCTTAGGCACTCACTGGTTATACAGAAAGACGTCATCGCCTTGGGGAGTGAGGTTCCGAGGGGTTCAGGAGCTGTGGTGTCCAAAAACAGGACAAGCCGGCGCCGCGGCTCACTAGGCTAATCCTCCGCCTAGCGGCGCCGGCACACCGGGTTCTAGTCCCGGTCGGGGCGCCGGATTCTGTCCCGGTTGCCCCTCTTCCAGGCCAGCCCTCTGCTGTGGCCAGGGAGTGCAGTGGAGGATGGCCCAGGTGCTTGGGCCCTGCACCCCATGGGAGACCAGGAAAAGCACCTGGCTCCTGGCTCCTGCCATCGGATCAGCGCGGTGCGCCGGCCGCAGCGCGCCGGCCGCGGCGGCCATTGGAGGGTGAACCAACGGCAAAGGAAGACCTTTCTCTCTGTCTCTCTCTCTCACTGTCCACTCTGCCTGTCAAAAAAAAAAAATAAAAATAAAAAATAAAAAAAAAATAATAAAAAATAAAAAACAAAAACAGGACAGACATCAAATGTGTTTCACAACCTCACAGTCAGCTTCTAGCATTTTACCTTTTGTGGTCTCAGTGTTGTGGTAGCTGGCAGGAGCAGTCCTCTAGCCTTGGTCCTGGTCAGGATTGTCTTGGCCTTGCTGAGACTTTTGACTTTCCACGTATTTTAGAATCAGCTGGTCAGTTTGCTGAAAGAAATCTCCGGGGATTTTCACCAGGGACGCATTGACTTCACAGCTGAGTTGACAGAGAGCTGACATCTTGACAGTGTTGACTATTCAATACCATGGCGGCGGCTGTGTCCTTTGATTTAGTTGAGGCTTCATTTCTGTCAGCACTACTTTGTATTTTTCCTTTTAGAGGCCCTTTTTTTTATTATTATTATTGTGTGCTTTTTTTGTCCTGTTAAAATTTTAAGGATTTATTTGCAAAGGCAGAGTGATAGAGAAATCTTCCATCTGCTGGTTCTCCCCTAAATGGCCAGAGGTGGGCCAGGCTGAAACTCCATCCTGGTCCCCCATGTGGGTGGCAGGGGCCCAGGTCCTGGGGCCATCACCCGCTGCCTTCCTAGGCATATCGGCCGGAAGCTGGGTCAGAGGCAGAGTAGGTGGGACGTGAACTGGCACTCAGCATGTGGGATGCCAGCCTCACAAGCAGCACCTTAGCCTGTTGCACCATGATGCCAGCCCTCATAAATGGTACCTTAAAGTTATTTTCAGGGCCAGTGCTGTGGGGCAGCGAGTTAAAGCCATGGCCTGCAGTGCCCGCATCCCATATGGGCACCATTTCAAGTCCCAGCTGCTCTACCCAGCTCCCTGCTAATGCACCTGGGAAAGCAGTGGAGGATGGCCCAGGTCCTTGGGCCCCTGCACCTATGTAGGAGACCTGGAAGAAGTTCATGGCTTTGCATTGGCTCAGCTCTGGCTGTTATGGCCATTTGGGGAGTGAACCAGCAGGTGGAAGACCTCTCTCTCTGTCTTTACCTCTCTCTGTAACTTGTAAATAAATAAATCTTTAAAAAAAAGTCCCTTTAAGTTTTGATTTTAACATATTTTTATAACAAATTACAATTCACATATAAATTCACCAATTTAAATTGTAAAGTTCAATGTTTAGTGCATTCATGATGTTGTGCATTTACTGCCACAAAGTTAGAATGTTGTCATCAACCCCTGTACCCGTCAGCTGTCACTTCTTACTTAACCCCACC